TAAGTTTGACATACTTGTTTTATTGGTTTCGGCAGTACAGTCTTGATTTTTGACGGACATTGTCAGTGATAATGCTAGTACAGAATGGCCATCAGAAAATAAATTGTCTACATCAAGAACTTGAAAATTAGAAAAAAGACTAAAACAATTGTGCGAAAAAACAACGTAGTCAATAACGGAAGTTCCTCTAAAAGTGCATTTACCAACAACCTTATCTTCACACATGTATACGACCGTTTGCAATAAAAAGATTATTACTTTTACACAGTTCTAAAAATCTTAAACCAGTAGCATTCGTTTTGTTATCAGAAGAGTTTCTCTTCGCTTGGAAATTATTTTCTTCTAAATATTCAATACAGTTAAATTCACTGAGAAAAGACTCATCTAAATCAAAAAATGTTGTTAAAAAGTTATCAAAGCTTACATAATCAGGTAAAGATGCTGTGTGACCATTAACATCACCTATGAGAATACAATATTTATACAAAGAACATTTATCAGAAACATCATTTTCAAAATTGAAAAAATCATCGTCATTAAAAAAACGAGATTGTAGTGGAGGTACATAGACGGCTCCTAATATCAAGTGCTCTTGTTTATCAAAAATGATGCAATCAATTTTTATCCATAAAACATAATCACTATTGGATTCTAGCACTTCAACATTTAAAGAAATACAGTCTTTAACATAAATACCGAGCCCTCCTGATTTCCTATAGTATCCTTTAGACCTAGGTTTAGAATAAAATTTATATCCTGGTACATTTATAACATCATAGATATCAAGTTTTGACTCTTGAACACAAAAAATGTCATAGCTTTTCACTAAATCTAAAAATTCAGGATAATTACATCTTTGTTTAAGACCACAAACATTCAGACTACCAATATTTAAATCTTTAATGCATGTAAAACGTTCAGATGTATGCTTAGAATAGCCTTCACAATGAGATATAAAGTCTTCCGAGATATTCGAGTTATAAGCTATATCTTCAGTGTTCCTTTTATCAAAGTCAGATAAGAAGTGTGGCTCATAATGTTCACAAATTTTGAATTTTGACGTGCTAGGTAAATTTATACATTTTGCACATAAATAAATAACATTATTCTCGAATGTAACACTTTCATATTTTTCAGATGTTAAAAAAGTACTTGCTTGTACATGTTCGATAGTCTCTGTCTCTGCCCCCGGCACGTGCTAACTAGTACGACCTTTATTGTTATTCACGTATCTGCTTGATTTAATCCGGTTAGCGTCCATAGAATTGGAACCATCAGATGCGGAAACATTTTTTCGAAACGAAGGACCTTTGCCTCGCGGAGACTTATTCTTGTCCGTGCGACTGTTTGTTAAACGGTCGCTCAACAGAGGTTGTCCATTATTTTGGCTTGCTTTCTTAGATTCTTTTTCACATGGAGTATGTACATAAGGTTCAGATATAAGTGGGCGTTCGCGTGTCTGGGTCTCTTCTGTGCAAGGAGGTACTGTGGCGGTGACATTCTGGTCAGTGTCTGGGCATATATCCTCTATAGTTTCTGTGTACCATTTCAAATATCAATTTCAAATAACATGACTGCTTATACATCAGTCTCAGAGTAAGATTGTTTTTCATTTTTCATCTTGTCATAAAATCATCAGTACTTGATTTAAAAACATATTAAGTACGTGTATGAAACAAACTGCTGGGCATGTTTAATAAATTAATTCTTTCTGAGCCAGGGATCCCAGATGTCAGGGATCCATAGTCGAGTGTTTATCACATGTGGAGAGATGTATGCTGTTTTTTTAATATATTGTGTCAGTCTTAAATGTCTTCAGAGAATTTCCATTAAAGAACTAGCCGCTTTGTAACAACGGTTATAAGTCACCCGGTTAGCTCAAGAGATAGAGCGTTTGACTATGACTCGGGCGGACCGGGTTCGATTCCCGGACGGCGCAGGCCACTTTCTTTGTGATTGGTCATGAAATCCTTTCTTCTGTCATTCGCACTTACCTCTGCTATGGTATGTACAGAAGTTTCAGTTATGTGCGAAAGTGAAGGCAACTAGTACTGGTAAACTGCTTGACAGCCTGCCAGGGATGATGCGGTAGTGGTAAATTTAATGTGGCTTACTGACATGATCCGGAGTGAAAACTACCAACACCAACACCACTACATCGGTTATACGAAACGGCCTTTTCAAATTTTCACGATTCTGTCAGTGTGACTTTTAAGGTTTTTTAGTTTAAGAATAGTTTATGTCCAATCATTTATGTTCTTAAAAATAAGATCTTTTGAATCACTGTGATTAAATTCCAGCTTAATCTTTCATTGTTTTCATTCAAACATTATTCAAATACTGTCATAATTTAACTACATAGTACAAATTTACAGGAGAAGATCTATATAAGCTTTATAGCTTTCGTCTCTTATCCTTTTACGTTCATGTATCTATTTATTGTAAATTTATTATTAACATGTTGTATCTATTGCTTGAAATAAACTAAGTTTAAACTTAAAATGAATACAACACGTTGATTAAAAATTGCTAATAAATAGATACATGGATGAAAAAAAAATAATTGAAGCCGAAAGCTATAGTTTTAAAAGCTTAAAATAAAGGTCCTCTTCAATACATGTACATGTGTATATGTTACTATGTAGTTAAATTGTGACAGTACTATTAGTTAACTTATGACAGTTTTTTTAATATTGTTTGAAACAATGAACTTCATTTTTAACAGTTTTGAAATAAAAAACCAAAGATTCAAGCTGCAAATTAATTCATAGTGATGCTAGCACTTGTTTTTAAAGGTCAAAGTTTTGAGAAGATACACACGATAAATGTCTGGATAGGAACGAGAAAAGGGTTAAGAAGAGTCATTAATGCAGTTATTTCAACTCATAAATGTTGGCTGCAGACGTACTTACAATAGAGATTTCCAGATTTAATTCATAGCAAGTAACTTTTTTATCTTTAAATAACATCAAAATTTATTTATCCATTTTCGCGTTCAAAAAGGTTGCTTCGAATAATGTAGTGTTATTACTATAAATGTACAATCCTGTACATAAACAGTATAGGCAGTCATCTGCAAAGAGCCTTTCTTAGATTTTCTTTTAAACGGTATGTCTTTATTGCGAGTCTGAGACAGGGAGATCGTGAGCATATACGAGCACTCTAAAATCAAAGTTCTGACATTCTTTGGATCCATTGACAACAACTTTTTGTGGTTACACTTTTACAATGAATAAATGAACCCACTTCGGCAAAAATCTTTATGTTTTTAAAGTATTTTACCATGTGTTAAGATATTAAATGTCATTTAATTAATAATATATCCTGATTTGATGACATGTATGTATGCCATTTCAGAGGTGACTTGACCAATACGTTGACCGAAGGTTATCTAAAATTAGTTAAACTAACTGTAAATCTTACATATAAGATAAATGTTCATTGGTCATTTAAAATTACCAATTGAATTTTGGAAATCTCATTGGCCATTTAAAAAATAAAATGTAAAAGACAGTCCTTGCCATTCTAAAATAAGATGTTACGGTTAGTTCTAAAATAAAATGTACATGGTAGTTCTTAGCGTTATAAAATAAATTGTTATCTATAGTTCTAAAATAAAATGTACAGGAAAGTTGTTTTACTTTTTAGTTAGTTTGCTGAGATATTTAAGCTAAGTTTAACTATACTTCCTCCCACAAAACATTTTACACTACATTCGGGTCTCATTACGTTTTCTAGTGAACAATTTATTTTAATTAAGAACTTAAAAAAACAATGCCGCGGTTGACAAAGTTTTTTCAGTGCTTTATATTTTTCTATTTCATCATAGTTGTTTCCATAAAATTAAAGACACGTTACTTGAATTTATTGTATCCATTATCCTTTTATTTCTATTTGCAATATTTCATATGTGATTCTTTAGATAATACTGTCCATATTTCATATGATTACAAATTTATAAAGCCAAACGTAATAACAAGTAATAGAGACTCCTTTGTTAATACTGTAAAATATATGTTGTTATACTTTGCAGAGACATCAATATCAATATGCTTAATATAATCTAATTTCTATGTTTACAAAATGTGTTGTTTTTCTTAGCTACAAGAAATTATTATGTCATTGTTATGCAAACATTGTTAATAGTTCTATATGTACTGCAGTATCGAACATTTAGAAATAACATAAGCAAGTTAAGCAGGTTTTACATCGGCCGGGTATCATTTTCAATGACATTTCTTGTTTATTTGTTACTGTTTGTTTATTTCATAAATTGGTTATCAAGAAAAAGATAGTACATGTATGTAAATTTTATCGTTTTCTATGCTAAACAGAACCACGGATTTATATTACTTATTATTATTATGTAATGTAAATCCGTGACAGAACCTGCTACATGTATAATATATATTTATATAGGCGTAAAATTGGCTGGCAATAAAAGAAAATATTAAATATTATATGGTCTCACCCCAGTACGGAATTAGACCCAGCCCGTTGTAGGCTAGAAAATAGTTCTTTGAAATTTTGAAGTGCCCTATTTCAAGTCATTTTTGATGTGACTGGTTACATTTTAAGTGTATTTATTGTAACAGTGTACATTTAGTGTCATTTCTGATGACTTTAAAAGTTTTTTTTGTGTGTGTATTCTGCAGGATCTCATTTCGTGGTGGAAGGATTCGAGTAGTACTACACGCCAGCATACATGACATTTGAAACTTTGATAATTTGAAAGTGACTAAACAAATTCAGAAATATTGTGAAATCTAGATGGCTAACATAGGACATTTCGGGCTTCGACTAACTTGTCTAGTGTTGATGTTTAAAGTTATGAAATACAGAATTCTGCTGAGTTTAATAGAAGTCCAGAATGAAGCTTTAAATGTGACAGATTTACTATAGAATAAAGAAGGACGAAAATTGACTGGGCCGTGTCCATATCTGAAACTGCACATATTTTCTTCCGGTATTGATACGGTTTCGGACGGCATTTAGCATACTAGTTGTCGTAAAAACAAATGTTCGTTTTCGGTAGCCTTAAGGACACACTTGTCAAATTTCACGTGCGTTCTGTCATTGATTTCCTCATAGCGTAGGTTTTATTACTATGATATCTTTATCCTGTGTTCGACAAAGCTAGGTAAATGAGTCTGATATGGCACACTGTCATCTAAGATCATGTTTATACAAGCAGACGAAAATACTTTCAACCAGGGCATTTCTGGGACGTTTTTATCTTGAGAATCCAAGGGCGCCTTGTAACATCAGTGTAACATCGTTGTTTAAAGGTAAAACTTATGTATTATTTTTTCTTATTTAATAACACCAATACCATGATTTCTTCATCGCATAGCTACAATTCTATGTACAACTGATCAGTGACACTTCTGATGGCACCAAAGTCGGATAGTTTATCCTGGCCCTGGGGCTAAACTAGGAGTGTTCATGCCGTTTCCTTTAGTTTATTATAAATCTATAAGTTTTACGACTGAAAAAATACATAGAGTCTAATCCAGGGGTTTGCCTTTTAAATACGGAATAATTTTTTCTGATGCAATGGACAAACATATTAAATATGTAAGTAGAGCGGGTGAGGCTATATTCGGATATCCACATACTGCCAGTTTTCAATCACAACCACTTTTCAATCATCCCTGGAAATTCTTTATTTTTGACCTTATTTGTCATGTAACCAAACTGTAAGCACATCTTGTATTTACCTTGACTACATTTATCAGCAGCAATGTCAATTATGGCGTTAAAAAAGAAAATAACAGTATTTTAGTTCAAAATATGTAAAATTTGTGTTTTCCACTAATCCTTTATTTACCCAGTTACAAATCGCAATAATTTTCTAAAAATAATTGATTTACAGACTCAGTTTTTTGTCAGTCTGCAAAAATGGATATTAAGTTAGACAACTGTTTCAATATAATTAAGTCATAATGTATACTGCACTTCAAAAGCTATAATTTTAATATGTACATATTTTACCTTACAATTCTTAATTGGAAGGTTATACGTCAGTAAACTAACAGTCACTTAACCAAGGAAAAACATTCTCTCTGATAACTTTTCAGAAAGCTGTCACTAGAATGGGGTCATATAGACCATAACTAAGATCCTAAAAATTTCACAAGAACATGCTTTTTCTGTTATGCACATTGAGATGTACATCCATACCCCAATTGTGACAGCTTTACTACTGCAAAAAGATATCAAGATTGAAAAATGTCATTAAAAATAGGTTAAAATTGTTTATTACCATTTATCTGAAGTTGAGTTTGTCAAAATTTCTTCAAAATACATAACTGGTTATATTTTAACATTGTATGACAATTTTTATGTGGTACAGTTTATATTTTGTTAACTGATTGAAAAGTGGTTGTGAAATTTTGAAGAACAGGAAAATGGGTCAGTAATGATTTGTTCTCCATACATAATAATAATTCAGGTAAAATTTTAAAAAGTTGTTGCATTTATTAGCTGAAATGATAATATTTGCAGAATTGTAAGAGAAATTTTATTTTTATAATTTCACTGTCAGTTATTATAGAAAAATCTGTTAGCTGATCGGAAAGTGGCAGTACGGGGATACTTTAAGGTAAAATAGCGCTAAATTTTTCAGCATCCTGAAGATACGATTTTCAATGCATATGCTCGATACGGAAACTTATGCCCGGTAATATGGCTTACTTGTAAATTTTGTTATAAACAATGATTTTATGTGTATAGACCGGGAACCATCCCGTGACATAGCGTCGGGTCTTTTGGATATTGGAGGCTATATCCGGATACCTCGATCCACGCTTAAAAAATGTAATTCAAATACATATTTGATTACATTTGGCTCTTTATTTCATACAATCAAACAAGTTCATTACGTTTTATGACTTTTGAACATTGGTGAATATTTAAAAGAAATTATTAATGTTTTTAGGAATTATCAGAAAATGTTCATAAATCAAACTCCTTATTCTATAACAGAATTAAATTGTCTTGTCACTGTTCCTCGCGATATATTATCAATCAATTCATTCAACAAAACAAAAACTGAAATAAATATTCTAGCACCTCTTCCTCGGTCATTCTATCAGTGAAATCAATGACTAAAATATCGCAAGTACCTTTGACAACCTATCCGCCCTTCTTTTATATCAACACCTTCACAATTGTAACATTTATTGCCACTGAATTAAATATAATCATAATCATCACAATCATCACACAGATCTTTCAAATAATCGGTGTCATCACTATCTGAGTTAAACGGTCAAACCAGTGTTTTTGTGTCAGTCTATGCGAAAGACTTCTGAGTTTTACTGGACAGTAGGTCCTGTAAACTGAAAATTTTTGCTGGACCAAACATGATTTTACTGGACCGAAAAAAACCTGATTGGTATAGCATTCTGAGTCACTTGATAAGTGTCAGCAGTCAAAAAATTTGTGTACAAAAAGAAAATTATATTATCAACAAAGTGAAGTTATCTTTTTTCACCACAATCAAAATGTAAACAGAAATATTGTTATACAATGGATTTTGCTATTTAAACTTTAATTCCATACAGACTATATACTAGCAAAATGAGAGGGTAAATTTCAGCAAAAGTCTGGCATATGTAAACAGAATTATATATATCGGTAATTTAGTGAAGTTGACAGATTAATTGTTCAATGATTTTGGTTATTTCACAGTATAGTTTAATTTTTGTCAACATCTTGGACGATCTTTCATAGCTAAACACCAGTTGAGCACACGTGTAATTTAGCATTACTCTAAGTATGTGGATTAAAGACGTAAATTGTTCCAATTAATACACTGAGTAAACAAACTAATAGCGGGTGACCTTTCACATCTGGGCCGCTTATGTAATTTATGCGGCCGCTTATTGACATTTAATTGTACTAGTTGTCGGATATTTTTATCTTACGTAGTTACATAAAAGTTTGCATTATGAGAATGCATAACAGTTGACAAGCATTGCACGAGCTTATATTGTGTAATGACAACATTTTTATATGTTTTGAATTGAGGTAAATGATCGGCCTTTGCAAAATGTTGAATGTAAGGTTTTTATAAAACCTTAATTTTTTACCTGGACCGTCGGGCCGTCAATACATATATTTTTATCGGACCTTCTGATTCTTTACTGGTCAGGTCCGACGGTCTTTCGGAAAGACTGTTGTGTCTGAGATGCCAGTGCTTGTTTCAGTCTCAGTTTACAGACCTTTTCTTATTCTTTCTCTTTTTTTCTCAAGAAGCATCTGCTTGGCCTTAGTTTATACGGATTTATTTTAGTTTGATTGTATTAGAAGCTTTAAGCTTATTGAAACACCCTCGAATCCATTCCTGGAACCAACCAGTACTATGCAATGATTGGAACTCGCCTCTGATGGGTTTTGAACCCTCACTAGTATGACGCGTTAACCCCCACTCGGCCACGCCGCAAGTCAGACTTGAGTTGTTGGTCCGCTTTTTCTTTTATTTTTTCCAACCATTTGTCAACCTTTTGCGTTCTCTTCTTCATGTGTTTTTTTAGCTTTGTTTCTTTCTTTTCTTTTCAATTAAAATCTTTCTCCACCTGTATCCAAAAGAGCCGAATAAAAGAAGATATTGTCGGGTCATACGGATACCAAGTCATCAGGGCCAAAAAACCCTTCTATGTAGAGGCCGAATATAGGCTGCTTCCCCAACCAAACTAGCCTCTTTTTTTTCCCAGTTTGGTCCTCAAAATTCCCGAGTGTTTTGAAATTTCCCATAGAATTTAGAACAAAAATAAATGATGGTGCAATGAATTAAGGTCTTTTACTGCTTTATAAGTATTTCCCAGTGCTTTTTGTTTTTCTAATTTGAAGAATTTGTTAAAAGTTTGCGTTTAATTTGAGACCCAGTTTCCCAAAGTATGCCAAAATCACACATATTTTCCCCAAGAAAAAGGTTGAGGCCCCTTCCCCAAAAAGGGTGTTTTGGCCCTGGTGATCAACCAGAATTTTGCCTTAAGGCCATCTCAATACACACATATATACAGTAAAATGATCGTATTTGCTATACACTTTCATATTGCCTAAAATTTTCATCATTTTTAATATAAATTTCAAAAATAGATTTCACATCTTCCTTAGCATACCCGGTAAGAAATTGATTTAAAACAACCTATCTGAAAGATGCTTACTTTTTCTCTAACTTTTTTAACACAGCTGTAAAACTTTAAAAAAACCGGGAAAGAAAATGTGCGTGTTTCCGATCACGCAATTGAAATATAATTGATGTCACTTTCACTAAAATTATCTTAAAAATAAAAAAGTATAAACAGGATATCCGGGTTTAGACTCACCGGCTCTATATTATTCTATATTTTTAGACCTTTGCAGTGGACGTCATAATAATTTTATTGTGTAAGTGACAGATTCAGTTACAGAAAAGTCCAGCTTGGAAAATTGCCCCATCAGCAGATTTCATCAAGAGTCAAAATCAAATGCATGCATTTCCGAATTTTCACAAGTTAAGGCTTGGTGCTAGGGGGCGTGGACGGTAACTTGCACTTTCCAGTACCGTCCATGAACAGGCTCAATCAAACCGAGCCTGCAACATTTTCAATTTTGCTGTGTTGGGCTTTCTTTAGGGATTCTGTATTTATCTATTTTATGATCACATCCGTGTTATTTGTGCCGTGTGGCGGCTGTAAAAAGTCTCCCCGTACATTTAATCAATGATGTTATATTTTCGATCCTTGAAGATCGTTCAGCACGACATTATTGTTGTGCTTGTGGTATTTTTAGTTTCAACTTTTCGGCATTTTCTAGTTGGGTGGTTCCAATATTCCTACTTGAATAATGTTGAATCACCCTTAGGATATGTTGCCTGCTTTTTAAATTTGTCTTTTGACGTCTTATCTGTGATACGTAGGCTTCATAACCTCTGATCCCCTTTCAAAATTCCATTTTATTTAGTTCCGCCCATTGTTTTCTCGTTTAGGGCACACGCTTTTTATTACTTGGGGACCATACGCCGCTTTTCATGGAATGGCACGGACGTGTCACATTGAAGGTTCCATGATAACCGCCGTATGAACACATCTGCGGATGTTTCTAAATTTAAAATTTTACTATTTCACGTTTAAATGTTGAATTCTGCTTAAGCCGGTGCTAGGGGGCGTGGACGGTAACTTGCACTTTCCAGTACCGTCCATGAACAGGCTCAATCAAACCGAGCCTGCAACATTTTCAATTTTGCCGTGTTGGGCTTTCTTTAGGGATTCTGTATTTATCTATTTTTTGGATCATTTTACCCGTGGCGATCGAATGTCAACTGGTGTAGGCCCTAATTGTTGTTTCACAATTATGGAATTAATAATTTGATACTTGAAATGTTAAAAAAAACAATATTAAAATAACTGTTTTATTGTATAATGCATGTAAGAATTAATTGGAAATTCAAAAAGGGTATTTGCAAATGAAAAATAAGGTTAAATAAACTGAACAAAATATGTTATTCTGACTCATTCTGGTTAAGTCACAGGTCTGAGCCTTTTAAAACTCAAAGATTTTGCTTATGAAAGTTCAGAAAATAAAGAATTTATTTGTATAAATGATCTTGTTGCAAAATCTATTAAAACCTACACTATAACTGATAAAAAATACATTGATTTCGTTCATGAAATTGTATGGAATTACGGATAAACTTTATTTCGGATATGTAAAAATTGCTTGAAATATAAAAATATGAGTAAAGGTATTAAACATTATTAAACATTCATAAACAAAAAATGAGTAAATACAATTACATTCAATATTTTTGGTAACTTATTTTATTTTAGCAATTATTAATTTATATATAACAGTTTCTGACAAAAGATAACTCTAAAGGGAAAAAACATAACATTTTGTAAAAGAAATACAACAAAAAAGAGCATGCATGATTTGATCACTCAATAACACAAAAATATTTTGGTCAAGGAGTCATTTAGGGAGATTCAAACCTTACTGAGAGTGGAGATAAATGTTTTATTGATATTATTATTATTTTTTAGGTCACTCATGAAAATTTATCTATTTGCTATTGCCAGCCAACCCGCCCAAAAGCCCGGACTCAAAAGTTTTTTTAGCTGGAAGACAAAAAAAAAATCTGAAGGAAAATCACACATTTAATAGGAAAACTAGCATTTAAAGTGTGATATCGTAAAGATTGATCATTCATGAGGGCATTCCGTGCATAAAATTAGGGTGTTACTATTTAAAGTATTTACATAAATGGCAACCAACCAGGGAAAAGATTTTCCTTATGTCACGCAGTTTAACTTTGAATTATATATGTCAGCAATAGCAAACAGGTATTTATTACATGCTTTTCGGTGGTTTATAGAAATATATCAGTGATATAAAACTGGTAATTTCACTGTTTGAAACAGTGAAATTACCATTTTGATAATTTCACTGTTTTGAATTTAAGCCCCTTACGTTGTTTCAGTGAAATACCAGCGTGCACAGTACTGGGTACCAACTTAATGACGTGACGCCGTAAATGACGTCACCTTGTATTATTATTTGGCGCGCTTTTCGTTCAGTATTAGGTTTAATGTCTTTTTAAAACGTTTATTTGCATATAATAAAAAGAAAATTTGTTTAGTTTAGTGTAAGATCGAAATATATTTCACCTTGTGAACACCAAAAGTTCATATTTCACTCATGGCTGTGCCACTCGTGAAATATACCTCTTGGTGCTCACTCGGTGAAATATATTTCGATCTTACACTGAACTAAACAAATATCCTCTATATATTTATGGGTGGCCTTATATTATTATTTTTAGTTACTTAAATAAAATTATATTGAATACAAAAGTCATTAAATCTCAGGGTTTAATATCTTTCAAAAAGTAATTTATTAAAAAGTTATAAGCACATGAATACTGTTTTCTTACATGTCTGTGCAGTAAAAATTTGCTATTTCAATTTGTGTGGCGTGTAGCCCCAAACTTATTTGACCTAGAGTCATGAAACTTTACAGAAATGCTGGTCAGCACCTAGTCACGGGTTTGTGTGTGGATTTATTCAGGATTTGTAGAGTAATTGACCTTGATGTAGAAAAAATTTGCATTTTTTAATTTTCAATTTTTTGGATCTTAATTGAATGTCACTGTCCAAGGCCCATACTTCAGGCATGCTTGGTGGCCTTGTGCAAAATTTATGAAGAAAATTCCTGGTAAAAAATTTATGTGCCACATAAAATTCATGCAACTATTGCAGACCAAGATCAGTTGTATCATATTGGTTAGCACTGTTTACTTTTTAATTAATATATATTTTGAAATTTTCCATAAAAATGATGAATGGTTTTCTCCAGAGATCTTTTAACCCTTTCCCCCATGAGCATATTGTGAAAAATGGCCGTTTTCACTGAAAAGCCTCCTGTTACAAGTTCAAACTGCTATGAAACTATGAAAAATGCTTCAATACTAATCAAACTTGGCACAAATGTTGACTGGACCATTGCCTTTGTAACGACATGCTCAGTCTTAAATTTCCTGTTACCATGGCAACGAGGGGACATCTCAAAATAGCCAAAAATCACTATTTTGCCTCGATTTTTTCCATCAAAATTTATTTCAAAGTGCTGCAACTGCTCAAGGGATTGAGATAGAGTCAAAGGCTTTTCAGCCTTGGTTAAACGTTACATTATGATCGACCTTGGGTCATTTTTAGCCTCTCACAAGTCCAAAATTTTCTTGGCGATGAGGGGGACTTCAAACCCCCCTAACAGAAGGGGGCACATCCCCCTTCTGGCAACCCCCTGATGTATCTTTTGGATGGGGTGCGGCGCCGAAAAAGTGCTCAATTTTTTAAGCAACATTTCTCAAACGAAAACTTATGTTTGGGGCCCAAATAGGACATTTTTTCACTATTTGAGGCCTAAAAAAGGGGGGGGGGGTCGAAAGTGCGTTGTTTCGCGTATATATGTGGTAAAGGGTTAAATTGATAATGTTAAGCTTAAAAACCATGCATAATTCATAGATTAATATCTAGCTTACCTTTTATTTGCAGATCATCATCAACATTCAAGTCTTTTCTCAAACAAGAGGGAATCTACTCTGACAAGAACCGCATTGTTGGAAAGCTCACAGTTCAGATATCTTCATTTTTCTCAAACAGTTCTATATTCCAACAAAGAGAAAGGTATCAATGGTGGAGCTACAGATGTGAATGACAAGGTTGAATCTGATAAAAGTACTGATGCTAAGCCAGAAACTGTGCCAGAAGAGAAGTTGACCGTTTTCCAGAGGTTTAAGAAAACATACAAAGAGCATGGGAAGGTTCTAGTTTGTGTGCATCTGCTAACATCCGCAGTATGGTTTGGAAGTTTCTTCTATGCAGCAAAAGTGTAAGTTATTTAAGAAACAGTATATCCCAATCTGTGATTTTATCGCCCAATAAAATCACTGCTTGGAGTTCAAATGCAAGGAATTATATCGCAAAGGCGTAGCCAGAGTAATATAATTATGTGCATCCAAAGGATAAGCAGTGATTTTATCAAGCGAAAATATCACCGATTTGGATATATTATTTTGATTCTAACATGACATTAACAAATAAATGCTGCCATACCGTTATTAAGCTATTTGCGCCTGATTTGTTTCTGTACTTATTTTTAGCGCGACGCACTTTTAGTGCTAATGTCATATGTTTAATGATTATGTCATATGTCTAAGTATAAAACATCAACAGTGAATTTATTGCATATTATTATATGATCTAAATATAGCTGCAATCTCATTGGTCCAAACAGTAGTCAACAGAACTTTTTATAAAATCATATTTACTGGGTGTAGTATCATATTCACTGGCTGAATTTGATTTTCCCAGTCTAAAAATAGATTGAGACTCATATTCAATGATCATACACCGTAGACTGTTAATTGCGCGTGTTAATTAAAAATTAATTGTTGCTTTTTGTTCTTTATGGCATATTTCTCGATTAAAATATCAATATTTTACTATTATACTTAAAGGCTACACCGCAATCATATGAGTATAAACTTGAATTATTTTTGTATGCGCAGAGTTCGCGTAGTTGTTGCATGCCTACACATGCGTCTATTTTCCCGCACTTCAACAAAGCAAAATTTGTACATGTATATAAGGTTGTACTTTTGTGATTTTTTATATGCCTGAAAGAATTTCGGACATATTATGTTATACCCCCTGGCGTCCGTCCGTCCGTTAGCAATTTGGTTTCCGGAGCATAACTTAAGTTCCATTTGGCCTACAGTGTTCAAACTTCATAGGATGATTGTCCATATTGGGTAGAAGACCCCTATTGATTTTGGGGTCACAAGGTCAAAGTGTCAAGGTCACTATGACCTTAAAACTGAAAACAGTTTCCGGAGCATAACTTAAGTTCCATTTGGCCCACAGTGTTCAAACTTCATAGGATGATTGTCCATATTGGGTAGAAGACCCCTATTGATTTTGGGGTCAAAGGTCAAGGTCACTATGACCTTAAAACTGAAAACAGTTTCCCGAGCATAACTTAAGTTCCATTTGGCCTACAGTGTTCAAACTTCATAGGATGATTGTCCATATTGGGTAGAAGACCCCTATTGATTTTGGGGTCAGAAGGTCAAAGGTCAAGGTCACTATGACCTTAAAACTAAAAACAGTTTCCGGAGCATAACTTAAGTTCCATTTGGCCCACAGTGATCAAACTTCATAGGATGATTGTCCATATTGGGTAGAAGACCCCTATTGATTTTGGGGTCACAAGGTCAAAGGTCAAGGTCACTATTACCTTAGAACTGAAAACAGTTTCTTGAGCATAACTTAAGTTCTATTTGGCCCACAGTGTTCAAACTTCATAGGATGATTGTCCATATTGGGTAGAAGACCCCTATTGATTTTGGGGTCACAAAGTCAAAGGTCAAGGTGACTATTACTTAGAAATTGAAAACAGTTTCTTGAGCATAACTTAAGTTCCATTTAGCCCAAAATATTCAAACTTCATAGGATGATTGTCCATATCGGGTAAAAGACCCCTATTGATTTTGGGGTCACAAGGTCAAGGTCACTATTACCTTAAAACTGAAAACAGTTTTCGGAATAGGTGATTGTCCATATTGGGTAGAAGACCCCTAATGATTTTGGGGTCACAAGGTCAAAGGTCAAGGTCACTTTTACCTTAGAATTGAAAACAGTTTCTGGGGCATAACTTAAAGTTCCATTTGGACCACAATATTGAAACTTCAAAGGAGGATTGTTATTTGAAGGAGGTAATACTTTATTTTACTCCCATGTCTTACAAATGCTTCATCTTTAATAAAAAAAAATCACTTTCGGGCATATAATCCTCCGCCTAGCGGTGCTCTTATTTTTATTAGCTCACCTGTCACCAGTGTCTATTCTAGGAATTGAAAAATAGGGGTGATTTTCCCCCCTCTATTTAAAAAAGGGGGCGATTTTCAAAATCAAAGGGTGCCAATATAAACTGCCAATGTTAAATCGTCTGCATTAAGTTTACACTGAGGCGTTCAACCGATGAAATAATTAAAACGATAATATTTATTTAAGGCAGCAGAAGTTGTCCCCCCTGAATTTTTAAACGAAAACAAATTATTACAGAACTGCCGCGATTGATTATAAAGGGATTGGCAATACAAATAATCAAACTATCTTTCACGTCTAGATCGTAGCCAAGCTAGGAATTGCCTCATTTTTCTTGATTATTTACTACACTAAAATGGCGCCCAACTGTCAGACCTAGCACACTAGTTCCGGTCGATACGGAACATTCCGTTAATTTCCGTCAACTCACGTAACCAGTACCATACGGTACTAAATTATTATGATTAGCTTACAGTTACCTCCCTTCGGTTTTCGGTGTAAATGTAAACAAAACAACCAAATATAATGCGGGATGGAAGTTTTAAGGTTTTATTATGTCTCCCCCACCTCGGGGGGAGACATATTGTTTTTGCCCTGTCCGTCCGTCCGTCAGTCCGTCCGTCCGTCAGTGCGTCCGTCCATTCTTCGTTTCCGGACGATAACTAGAGTTCCTTTTGACCTACAGCTCTCAAACTTCATAGGATGAATGGTCTTATTGAGCAGATGATCCCTATTGTTTTTGGGGTCAGTAGTTCAAAGGTCAAGGTCACAGTGACCGTTGGTCAATTTCTCGTTTCCGGATGATAACTAGAGTTCCTTTTGACCTACAGCCCTCAAACTTCATAGGATGATTGGTCTTATAGAGCTGATGATCCCTATTGTTTTTGGGGTCAGTAGGTCAAAGGTCAAGGTCACACTGACCGTTGGTCAATTTCTCGTTTCCGGATGATAACTAGAGTTCCTTTAGACCTACAGACCTCAAACTTCATAGGATGATTGGTCTTATTGAGCAGATGATCCCTATTGTTTTTGGGGTCAGTAGTTCAAAGGTCAAGGTCACAGTGACCGTTGGTCAATTTCTCGTTTCCGGATGATAACTAGAGTTCCTTTTGACCTACAGCCCTCAAACTTCATAGGATGATTGGTCTTATAGAGCAGATGATCCCTATTGTTTTTGGGGTCAGTAGGTCAAAGGTCAAGGTCACAGTGACCGTTGGTCAATTTCTCATTTCCGGATGATAACTAGAGTTCCTTTGACCTACAACCCTCAAACTTCATAGGATGATTGGTCTTATTAATCAAATGATCCCTATTGTTTTAATGGTCAGTAGGTCAAAGGTCAAGGTCACAGCGACCGTTGGTTAATTCTCCTTTCCGGATGATAACTAGAGTTCCTTTAGACCTACAACCCTCAAACTTCATAGGATGATTGGTCTTATTGAGCAGATGATCCCTCTTGTTTATGGGGTCAAAGGTTAAGGTCACAGTGACCATTGGTCATTTTCTCATTTCCGGATGATAACTAGAGTTCTTATCAGTGAGGACATTTAACTATTATTGATATATCAGTGATATATCAGTTGTCTGGTTTTATATACTCTGTTCTTTTATCTCCATTTCCATTCCTGTTTCCATTCACAGTTATTCTCAGCAGTGGGGGAGACATGCGCTTTTTTACAAAAGCATCCTCTAGTTAACTTTTTTTATAGATGCGCGATTTTCATGCACATGATTTTGAATTGTGCGCGATCTGTAAAATACTAGCGTGAATCGCGCAATCGCGCGTCCTAGAATAGACACTGTGTCACAAAGTGACAGGGTGAGCTTTTGTGATCGCTTTTCGTCCGGCGTCCATCCGTCCGTCGGTCCGTAAACTTTATCTTTAAACGACATCTCCTTTTAAAACACTAAGCCAATTTCATCCAAACTTCACAGGAATGTTCCTTTGGTGGTCACCTTTTAAAATTGTTCAAAGAATTTAATTCCATGCAGAACTCTGGTTGCCATGCCAACCGAAAGAAAAAACTTTAAATATCTTCTTTTAAAAAACCCTAAGAGCTAGACCTTAGATATTTTGCATGAAACATCCATTAGTGAGTGTCTACCAAGTTTGGTCAACTGAAAGCCATGGGGTTCAAAATTGGCCCCGCCCCGGGGGGTCATTGATTTTCCCTATATGCATATAGTAAAAACTTAAAAAATCTTCTTTTAAAGAACCCAAAGAGCTAGAGCTAAAATATTTAGCATGAAACATGTTCTAATGGGTGTCTACCAAGTTTGTTCAAATAAAAGCCCTGGGGTCAAAATTGGCCCCGCCCCGGGGGGGTCATTGATTTTCCCTATATGCATATAGTAAAAACTTAAAAAATCTTCTTTTAAAGAACTCAAAGAGCTATGGCTAAGATATTGAGCATCAAACATGTTCTAATAGGTGTCTACCAAGTTTGTTCAAATAAAAGCCCTGGGGTCAAAATTGGCCCCACCCCAGGGGGGTCATTGATTTTCCCTATATGCATATAGTAAAAACTTAAAAAATCTTCTTTTAAAGAACCAAAAGAGTTAAAGCTAAGAATTTTAGCATGAAACATGTTCTAATAAGTGTCTACCAAGTTTGTTCAAATAAAAGCCCTGGGGTCAAAATTGGCCCCGCCCCGGGGGGTCATTGATTTTCCCTATATGCATAAAGTAAAAACTTAAAAAATCTTCTTTTAAAGAACCAAAAGAGCTAGAGCTAAGATTTTTAGCATGAAACATGTTCTTATAGGTGTCTACCAAGTTTGTTCAAATAAAAGCCCTGGGGTCAAAATTGGCCCCGCCCCGGGGGGTCATTGATTTTCCCTATATGCATATAGTAAAAACTTAAGAAACTTCTTTTAAAGAACCAAAAGAGCTAGAGCTAAGATATTTAGCATGAAACATGTTCTAATGGGTGTCTACCAAGTTTGTTCAAATAAAAGCCCTGGGGTTAAAATTGGCCCCGCCCCGGGGGGTCATTGATTTTCCCTATATGCATATAGTAAAAACTTAAAAAATCTTCTTTTAAAGAACTCAAAGAGCTATGGCTAAGATATTGAGCATCAAACATGTTCTAATAGGTGTCTACCAAGTTTGTTCAAATAAAAGCCCTGGGGTCAAAATTGGCCCCGCCCCAGGGGGTCATTGATTTTCCCTATATGCATATAGTAAAAACTTAAAAAATCTTCTTTTAAAGAACCAAAAGAGTAATTTAAAGCTAAGATATTTAGCATGAAACATGTTCTAATAAGTGTCTACCAAGTTTGTTCAAATAAAAGCCCTGGGGTCAAAATTGGCCCCGCCCCGGGGGATCATTGATTTTCCCTATATGCATATAGTAAAAACTTAAAAAATCTTCTTTTAAAAGAACTCAAAGAGCTATGGCTAAGACATGTAGCATCAAACATGTTCTAATAGGTGTCTACCAAGTTTGTTCAAATAAAAGCCCTGGGTCAAAATTGGCACCACCCCGGGGGGTCATTGATTTTCCTTATATGTGTATTAGCAAAAACTTAAAAAATCTTCTTTGAAAAAACCCAAATAGCTAGAGTTAAGATATTAAGCATGAAACATCTTTTAGTGAGTGTCTACAAAGTTTGTTCAAATAAAAGACCTGGGGTCAAAATTGGCCCCGCCCCGGGGGTCATTGATTTTCTTTATATGTGTATAGCAAAAAACTTAAAAATCTTCTTTGAAAAAAACCCAAATAGCTAGAGTTTAGATATTAAGCATGAAACATCTTCTAGTAAGTGGTTACAAAGTTTGTTCAAATAAAAGCCCTGGGTCAAAACTGGCCCGGCCCCAGGGGTGTCATTGATTTTAACTATAATGTGTATAGTAAAAACTTTAAAAAAATCTTCTTTCAATAAAGCCCAATGAGCTAGAGCTTAGATGTTTTAGCATGAAACATCTTCTTATGGGTGTCTACTGAGTTTGTGCAAATAAAAGCCCTTGGATTAAAATGGCCCTGCAACATTGGGGGGGGGGGGGGTGCGGGTTGGGGGGGCTACATACAGGTGAGCGACCTCAGGGCCATCATGGCCCTCTTGTTTCTTAGCCTATTCATATAATAAAACAATTATTGACTAGTGAACCATTGAATATGATGTGATATTCACCGGCAGAAAGTCATATTGACCTCAGCTATCCCCTCGGTCAATATGTCATCTGGCGGTGAATATCACATCATATTCAATGGTTCACTAGTCAATAATTGTTTAATAACACATTCTTTCGGTTCTTCTATGTTCAATAGGGAAAAACGCTGGTCATGTTAGAATGGATATTTAGCCATTTACAAAGTCAGGATAATTATATATACCGTAATAATTCTATTTAGCGCCCGGGCTTTTATTAGAATCATAGACTATTCGAAAGTTGGGGATGGGCGTTAATTGGAGACGCATCTTCATAAGACAGACTAATTTTCTAAGCAAGGCTTTATAAATCCAATCGCCTCATAACTATAAGAAGAAATCGAATCCGAAGATATAGAGCGGATGTTGATTTATAATTGCAGACAACGCTAAAGTCGATTTCGTATCGTTAACATACCGCCTAAAGTCTGTTCTTTTCCCCCGCACTTTAATACCGTGCATCTAGAGTCCGGTATCCGAGCACGGGAATAAAAAATAAGCCTCACGCATTTTACTGCAAAAATATATTATGATTTTTCCCAACGAAATATTCATGTTAGGTTACCAATTAACTCTGTAATCTGGATGTTTCTATACAATTCAAAAAAGTCAGTGAAAAATATATTTCGTGTCCGATCATTATGCCATTTTTTTATCCGCAAAATATAATTGTGCACATTTTCATACCTTTTTCCCGCAAAAACATTATTGATTATAACAGTGAGAAATAAATCACTGAGAATTTTTAATGTCACAAAAATAAAACACATGTAATACATGTAAGCATAATCAAATGTATTATTTTAATGATCAGGATTTCGATCTCAATAAGCTATATCTAGCGATCTGCATTCAGTCCTTTTGAAAACGGGACGCCATTACCCAAACTATTTCGGAGGCACAGAAATTCCTTTGAATAATTTTGTAAGAAGTCGGCATAAAATCACTCACTCCCGGTACATAATGTCCAACAACAAAATTTAATTTTTTTACAATACATGTATAAGCTTAAATGTCAAATGCTCTTCATCAGTCATGTTTGAATCACTCCCATCACTGTCGTTACCGGACGTTGTCATAAAACGGCTTCTGCACTCGCACATCATTCTGGTCAAAACCTAGAAAGTTGATGCAAAGGAATCAATACACACCTACTTGTGAAATGAAGACAATATTCTTTTTTTTTATTTTAGTCTGGACAACCGGGGGGAAAGGAGCAGAATTTCCATGTTTGTGACAATGTTAAACATTTAGCATGAAAAGATTTATGGCAAGCCTTTAATATAACAGTTTAATGCATAACTCTCAAGGGTCTTAGCTTACCAAAATTGTAACAGACAGCACATACTTATTATACGTTCAACAGTCTAAATTTATTTACTGTTTGAGCGCTAAGAAAATTGTCGTCTGCTAGAAATGTCGTCTGCTAAATGAAAAGTTTTAACCTATATTCCCGCAGCATGCCGAAAAGAAATGTGTCTGAATATCATACAACTTGGAACCTGACCAGACGCCGAGTTACTCGGTGTCCAGTTCTGGTTTCCAAACTGTTTACGAAGGCCTTTCAAATTTGCCGCCAAACGTGCATAGAGTAAAGGGAATGTTCACAAAACCTGGAAAACTCAAGTTCTGCGTCGCTGTCGCTGTCACTACTGTCAGAGTTCACAGGAGAAACGTCCCTCGGTGCCATCTAATGCATTTGAAAATGCCTACTTTCTTAAAGCTCTTGACAATAAGAGCTTCTGACAATGCTGTCCCAGGATTCTTTGACCCACTGAAGAAGAACTTTGGGTTAGTTGGCTTCCTCAATTTTGCCTCCGGCTGTAAAGGTGTGATCTCCATTTACCATCCAGTTGTCCCATTTGGGTCTTGAATAAAGGCCTTAAAAGGTTTATTCCAGCTTACATCTGCAGGTTTGTAAGATTGCCCGTCAACCAACCAGGGATCACGGACCATGTCGGAGTTGGCGCCAAAATCACTACGGCGGGATACCATTGACTTTTACGTCATCAGTTCTATGTGCCCCGAAAAAAAGCGTCCCAAACTAGGCCCATTTTTCGTGTGTCCTCCCGTCGCCAAAAACCTGAAGCACACCCACCATTTATAATATTTTTCATTTTACCAACCATTATCGGACATTCTAACGAGCACACCCGGTGGTACGTTCGGAAGCAGGGGGGTCTCTTTTTCCTTTAAGGAAGACCACTGGCGGTAATTTCCTGCCGTCAGCCATAGCAGCGAGCCATAACCGTCACTTTCTCTTTTTCGTGCCCTGTTGGTGGCGTATTTGATGACGGGATTCTCCACCCTTATGGTGAAGAGTGGAATTTCCAGGCATGTCAAAGTACAACCGCTGTTTCTCCATGTTTCCAATTGCATTCCATTGGATAAGCTCCGCAATTTTCTCATTCGAATAACGAATTTGTGAAATGAGACTATCTTGTCTTCAAACATGTTCTGGCATTCGTTAGCTACGGTCGTCTTTCACGCATTGAAACGGAATGGGCGCTTCATCCCACTTTTTGTTAGCCATTCCCACGGCTGGCCTTAAATGGTTAGATTTCCCCACTCATAAATGAACCGCCGCTGCCGCTTTTCCAGGATTCAGCTGTTTGCCGGTTATTCGTATGCCACTCGATTCTTCGTTCCACTAAACCATTCAAAAATATCCCTGTCAAAACTGTTTCATTTTTTCACTTTTCGTGCCCAAGCAGCCCGGGAGACGTTTTACACAGACCATTAAGCTTTCTCCGAATCGTCCCCAGCATCAAACTGTTTAATCCATTCTCTTATTTCCCTTTTTCGATTCAATGGCGAATTTTCTACTTTTTTCCGGGAAATAGTGTGGTCTTTTGCATATTTAGCGACAGTTAAATATGACCTCGTGTTTTCCCATTGATGTTAAAAAAAAAAGTTAAGAATAGTTTCTAAAAACCGATTTTACTGACACAAGCATTATATGTTTTTTAAGGGATTGGTGCGGGATTTTGATATAAAAAGACAATCGACTATTGTTCAAAAATAATTTTAAATCAAGAACTAATCTCCCATGTTGGGCCCCAATACATTGAACCACGCGGGTTGACCTTGCTGACGTAATGAAATAGGGCGCCCAGTGAGTTTTGGTATCTTCGGAATGGTTAAATTTTTATTACATGTATATATCTTATACACAAAACACATTGAATTATGGGCAACACCTATGCTTGTGTCTATAAAATCTTGTTATTAAGGGATATCAAACGTTTACAAATATACATGCCCAATCGGAAACTATATCTTCAGGTAAAATTTGGAAACGCAGAAAATGAAAAATAGTGATAGCGCAAATTATTCCGTAAAAAATAATGGATCTGTTGTTGGGGGGACAAATTATTCCGGAGGGATTATGCCAGCCCTCTTTACAAAATTATTCAAAGGATGGACTTATTAAAGAAATCAGTGGCCGAAATACTTGGAGAACCGCGTTCGTCATCAAAAGGAACTTTTGTAAAAGGTGGGTGGCATTGAAATAACTGTGTACATATAAACTTTAACGGAAAAAAAAGAAAAGAAAAAAGGGAATTCCGTTCCTACGTGAAAACGGAAAATAAGGAAACTTGAATTGTTAAAGGTAAGCCCTCAATTGTACTCAAAGCGGGGATGGGCGTTTAAAAGGGCAGTTAATTTTCAAACTTTGGCTGAAAAATGAAACCGTTTTTTGTCCAAAATATGGGGGGTGGGCGTCTATTAGAGGATGGGCGCTAAATAGAATTATTACGGTATATACATTGAATATGATAAATCGGAAAGAAAATAATTCAGAATTTCAGATGCAAGTAGTTTGATAAGGCATTTCTTAATGAAAATGTGTATAAAGAAATGTATTCTATACACCTGTCTATTGTAAGATATTGTTACAATAGAGATACTTATATTTATAATATATATCACAATCTGGAGATCAGTGAATAAATGTTTTATTATTAATAAATGAATCCCTCAATGGTGAAATTTAAATATTAATTTTATTTGAATATTAATTTTATTTTATCGCATTAAATTAATGTATGAATTAAAGACACTGTAAAACATACATGTGAACTTTTTTCGATGATCAAGTGGGAGATTTTTCTTCAAAAATAGGGAGATTTTAAAATTTGCAATAAACAAAGAAGGTATTTCTGACATCAAAAATAGGGACATTTCTTTAATTTGTGAAAATACCCCTTATTTATAGAAAAATCTTTGAAAATATGGCTGCAGAAAGAGGGAGTCTTCTGTTAAAAGTGTGAGAGTTCACATGTATGGTAAAAGGAGCTTGCCACAAGCCCTTATATTTATGGCAATTTTTCTGTGCAACGTGTATACAGGTGCAACAATGTTTTTTTTGTCACTCTTTTAAACTTTTTTGTATATATACATATATGTTTTTTAAGTTGTGAAATTGACTAATCTGTGAAATACTCAAGCTTTTGACTGGTCAAAGTATAAACCCCCATTTTGACAAGAATTTCAGCATAAGGGAACATGAAATGTCACTATTATTAAAATTCAAATGTTTTTTTATTTCCCCTTCCTAGAAATTACAACCAGATTGTGTTTCTCTGACATTATGAAAAACATACATTTCATTAAATATGTTCATATAAAGAAATTGAATGTTCTAAAAAAAAATTTAAACATTAAAGGGACTCCACTGAGGTTTAAAAGTCTAAAAAAAATAACATTTGAATTCCTTAGTAATACATAAATGAGCTGGGGCACTTTAAACAGTAATATATGCAAAGATAGTTAAGAAATATATTTTGAAATGAATTGAAAATCGTATTTTTATGCTTTTCTTAGCCTAATTTGAGTGAAAGGCGTTTAAAACGCTTTTCAGTTTGGGTCAGTTTTTACAATTTGAATATTTATTCTGGAAAAACGGTGTGCGCGAATGATCCGAAATTTTGCACAAAGCTTAGTGGTCTAAACCTACATCAAATGGTACAATTATCTGGAATAAAATATTTTCAGTCCCATCATGTCAAAAAACCTCAGTGGAGTCCCTTTAAGATATATCCCATTTTTCAGGCCTTTCCCCTAGCCATTTAGGGAGAAAGTCCCTAGCCCAGTTTGGAAAATTTTGTGTCATAAAATTACCTAATTGGGAAAATATTTGGAGCCTTTTCAAACTGCTTGAAATAATTCACAGATCTAGAGGGACACATGAGGTCTTCTCCGCTAGTAAAACTGGAAGGTAGCCATATGACCTATATCTTTATATGTGTTGGTGTAACATTTCCATCCCCCCGTGACCCCGACCCGCCCCCTCCATCCTACCAAAAAAAAAATAAAAAATAAAAAAAAAATGTGATTTTAAATTTTTTTGAGTCACTCACTTTACGTTCATACCCAAAAACAGAAAATTACCTGTAACAGTTTTATAATTTTAACAATTTTTATACCGTTTGAATACATGTATTTCTTGTATCTTAAATGTACTATAATTTTGTTTTATTATTTAATATGTACACTTATCAAACACTTTCAATGTTTTTGCCTATTAAACTATGGGAAGTAACTTGCATGTCCAATAATTACATTATGCATTGAATTCTCTCCCTGTAGTAGTTGTACATCCATAATGAGATTGGCTCGAAGGTGTAACTGTGGTCTTGCTGGAAAATAGCCATATGACCTGTTGGTGTGGCTTTAACAAAACAAAAGTTAAATATAGCTTGATACCATGTGCATAATTATATGTTACCACATTTTAGATTTTAAAGATTCATAAAAAAGACATGACATTTTTCTCTCCATTTATTACAGTGGTGTAGATGTAATTCCTTTAATGGAATGGATTGGGCTTCCGGACAAAGTGATAAACCCATTTAGAAACTCCAGTTTAGGGGACGTAGCTCTGGCATACCTTATGTACAAGCTTGCAACACCTGCTCGGTACACTGTTACTTTAACAGGTACAAACTTTGCCATAAAGTACTTAAGAAAAGTCGGTAAAATGCAACCAAAAGACAAGAGTTCAAGTCTGCGTGTGCTAGCAAAGGACTCAAGAGCAGAATTGAAAGTAAAAAGGAGAAAAATGCAAGGAACAACTGATCAGATAAAAAGTAATTTGATAGACAGGCGAGTAAAAGTTAAAGATCGAATTAAGAAATTGCGAGTGAAATTGAAACGTCAGTCGAATCTGAGACGATTCAGGCAAAACGGAATTAGAAAGGCAAAACCTAATGGGAAAACGAAAAAGTAAAAACCTTCAATGCATTCAGTGTTGTCACCTATGGTTGACCAATATTCTGTGATGTTGAGTGAAAGTTTAGGTCAGTTTTAAACTGAAATGTTTAAAACTACTTTTCCGAGACACTGTTGGAACATAATTATTTGACATACAGTCATGTGATATGCACATGTAGATATCGGAACAGAAAATAAATGAATTCAGAGACTGTGTGTCATAAATATTGATTTTATAGAATCTTCGAAAAAGTTCTTAATGCAGATGATTTCTTTTACAACAACAAATGTCTTTTAAATATTGAAATTATGTAAGCTGTAAGAAAATTTGGAAAATTTATCAAACCTTTGTAAAACATTCATATATTTGTTAAACAAAATAATACAACATTACTGTTAACTGTTAATTAATAATTATGCTCCCACGTCAAAGAAGAGGGGGTATATTCCTTTGCATAAATGTCGGTTGGTCGGTCGGTAGACCAAATGATTTCCGAGTGATAAATAAAAAACACTTAGGCCTAGGAACTTCAAACTTAGGCCTAGGAACTTCAAACTTGGTATGATGATTGGTCATGACAAGTAGTTGACCCCTATTGATTTTGGGGTCAAAGGTCAAGGTCACATTGACCTTGTAGGTAAAAACGGTTAATGATCAATAACTAAAGAACTCTTAGGCCCTGGTATGATGATTGCTCATGACTAGTAGATGACCCTTATTGATTTTGGGGTCAAAGGTTAAGGTCATATTCATCTTGTTGGTAAAAACGGTTGACGATCAATAACTTAAAAACCCATGAGCTGTTGGCCATCAAACTTGGAAGGTGCATTTGACTTGAGAATTAGATGACCCCTATTGATTTTAGGGTCCCAGGGCTGCCGATTTTCCGCGGATCCGCGAAAATCCGCGGATTTCGTGAGCTCCTGGGTCATTTTTGAGATCGATGTAAATTCGACAAAGACAATAAATTCATTTGTCATATTTTATACAGTACCCAAAAACCGGCACGCTTCGGCTTTTATCCTTACGCTAGCCGCCTATGGTACGTCTGTAAGCGCTTTTCTCATTGGTCATATCGAGTATTTTCCGGTATTCTATCTTAGAATAACCAATCAAATTACAGTTTACATTGTTGCTCTTGTCTGTTGTCAAAATGCGTCAAAATGTCGGATATTTGTCAAATTTAGAGTCCATGAAATTGATTTTAGGGCATACCAAATCATTAGAATCCAGGAGCTTCCGGGGACTTCGCCCCCAGGTCCCCCACCAGGGCTCTGCCCTGGACCTGCAAAGGGGGCTTGTGCAGCCCCCTTGACCCCCGGCGTATTTTCCGCTGACTTTGCAATTTGCTGTTGGCAGCCCTGTTAAGGGTGTAGAGGACAAATGTCAAATTAACCTTGTAGGTGTAAACCATTTCTGATCAATAACTTGACAAGCCCATAGCTGCTGGCCCTCAAACTTTGTAGGTGCATTGGTCTTGGCCAGTAGATGACCCCTATTGATTTTGGGTTCATATTGACCTTGTACTTAAAGACTGTTTCTGACCAATTACTCAACAACTCAAGTTGCCTTGGTTGATATTTTAATATTAAACTAAAAATGCTTTTCGTATACACTTTTGAAGGTCTCATGTAATATAACAACTTGGCTGTCATTAATGAGGCCTATATGATTCATTAAATTTATGCATTACCTATGTGATCCCAATAATTATTACCTAGTGACTAGTTATGACCAGTAGATAACCCTGATTGATTTTTTGTTCACTAGGTCAAAAGTCAGTCATAATAACCTTATCACATGACTAATTGGCTGTTGATAGGGGGCATACATGTTTTACAAACATATCTTGTTACCTTAGTGCAGTAAAGGGTTAGCAAGTATTGTTTCAAATAGGAAGTTAACCCATTAATGCACTAAGGTGACAATGCTGTAATGGAGGCACATTATGCCTCACAAACAAACAAATCTTTGCTTTAAAAAGGGCAGGCATGAGCTTTCTAATATTTAAATGGTTTTAAAGAATGTTCAATGTTAGATGCTAGTTTCTTGAAGAAGTATTGCTACAATATATTTGCAATAATATGTTATAAAAATAGCAAAATGTAATTTTAGTTGATGTTGGAAATTCTCACAGTATAATACTATTTTTAATTATCTGAATATCAGTATATTTTAAGTTCTATTTAAGGTACTCGTTCAACGAGACTGTACATCTTTAAAAAGATTATTTGAAAGTGTGTGTGTACTGCTAGGCTAGCTTGATTGGATTTAATTTGGTTTTCTTTAGCAGATGGTTTATATCTAAATTCTTAATAATCCCTTACAGTGCTGAATTTGTTAATTAAAATAGATTTGCCCTGCTTTGAGTATAGACAATCCATTTGTGTAAAAGGATTTACTTAACAAACTTGTAATAGTGAGTAGTGTATGGTACAGTGCCTGATCAAATTACAGACTGGCATGGTTTTATACTGGTTTGCAAATCATCACAATTATGGTGTTCCGATATTAAAAGGATAAACAAAGTATGTATTTTATTTATTGTGTTATATGCTTGTCAGTAGTGCTATATAATATATGATATATGGAGATATATTAAGACTTTTAAATGAATAAAATGTCTTCTTGGTAACTTAAGCATTTCTTTGTCAATTTTGTTTTTAAGAGTTGAAGTTTAATTAAAGGGTATAAAACTATACATGTATATTAAAACATAGTATAAACTCCACTATTTGGCAGGGTTCAATGCCATAACACTTCTGTTAAGTTTTTGTGTGAAAGCTTGTACTTCAAAAACTACTAAAAGGAATATATAGGTTGAAAACTTCACACACTTATTTGAGACCATGATAGGCAGCATTTTTCTAGGGACCATAATTGTAACATAGATTTTGACAGAATTATGGACATTTTTGGACTTGGAAAGTTCATTATTCAGACTATCAAGCACCGAGAATAGTCGAGTATGCTGTCTTACTGGCAGCTCTTGTACTAAAATTCATATTCGTACAGGCTTGTTTGATTGTATTGATGTCAATCAATTATCACTGAAAATACCTAAAATAAGATTTTTTGCTTAGTAGATTTATCAACCTTTTCTGAACACATACGTTAGTCCAAAAATGTGTTTTTCAACGTTTTAAAACGGTACCTGTACCATTTTATATGCTATTCGCATAACCTGTCAATTATCGATAACGCTCCGCCCCCTGTTGAGGCATCAATGAGGGAAATCGATAGTTCCATATATGCGTGAATTACCGGTCCATACTGGTCCATACTACTCGTATTTGTTTAAATTCATGTATCGTACATCTTTTATGAATATCGTCTTTTATTTAGCCTTTTTTATAAAATAAGAAATTGTCGGCCAATGTACGTAACATAATGTATGAAACATAAATAATTAAGCATAGCGGCAAATCGCACGACCACGGGGTTGATTAAGAATATATTTGCTAAAATATACATAATGTGTGAAAATAATTTGTCTGTCCCGTTAATCTGATAGATATTAAATTGAGTTTATGGACTTTTGTACGGATTCAAGGGATTGCTTTACATTCAACCTCGTTTTATAACACTGTCAAGTAAAACAGCAACAAAAATTAACAGACAACATTTTTTATGTGAACGCCTATATGACTTGTGGTAAGGGGTCCCTGACAAATTTCTAAAACATTTTAGGTTGTCTAAGGATGATTATTTCTCCATGAATCAATAAAAAAAGATAATTAAATATATTATCAGTGAATGCTTTGAATGAATTATTCGCCAGTTAATTGAACACAGTACTTATAAACCTGGGACAATTAAAGTATGGATTTTGTTGTATATTTCAGTAGAAACTGGATATCTATGCCGTGCATAGATGATACGTGCATTCATGATAATAGAAGTCAAGAAGGTCAGATCATAATGATCGAGTGATATGTAAATCATTCATATCAATTTGGAGGAAAAAAATATATAATATCCCGTTCTTATTTGTACATCTACCATGGACTTTAAAAGAGCGTCAAAAGCTCAGTTTTTTGTTATTTTGATTTATATTTTAACGGAATTTCATACACGAATACACAGACAGAGTGACACTGGTATAATATAATAATAATGCTGATGATAATAATAATAAACTTCAAAAGGGAAACAATTAAATACCCCGCTAGCGGTGCGCAAATACGTTCCATTATCCCCCACCGAGTGCCTCAAATTTTACCGAAAGTCACGTGACATGTGCGACCGATACCAGGCGGACTGTAAATCACGTTAAGATTTGAAGGAATTTCTGTTATAAACTGATATTAATCAGCAACTTTTTAATTGGTCAGATGTCACTGGGTCATAAAATGTTGTTACAGTATGTAACTGCAACTTGTGACCCTCTCTGGTGCGATATTTGTGTATTATGTAATTATTAAGCGTGAAACGTAGGGGTCCGAGAGAGAACAGCCGATTTATGACACTTCGTTTGATCCGGGTCGGACTAACTTTGAATCAGCATAACTTTTTTAATAATCAAGCAATTAACATGCAGTTTAAAGCACATGAAAGGGAATTCATTTACGTGTCAGGGATTTTTGTTTGCTCAATCAGCGACTTAATTATCTTTAATTACGTAATATGTATGGTGAAAAAAGTCGCATAAAACGTTTGACGTTACGTAATATTTTTTTGAGAAAAGATAGAAAAAATTTGAGACACGGTTCCCCAGATATTATAAGTATGTTTATTTTCCAAAAGTTTGATGACAAAAAAAAATAAATAAGTTTGATAGGACGATTTAAAATTTTAGGATTTTAATTAAAAATCAATCATTTACAAAGGCATTTTTTTCAAATATGTTATTTTTTATGATGATCAACGATATTTAATGTACAATGATTAAATAAATAACAATTATTACTAAAATTAGTTGGTTTAAATGACATTTATGTGTACCACGGAAAGTGTCTGTTGTCACCTTAAGGGTTTTAATGTCTGTTTGTGCCATAAATAATTCACAGAAGGGTAGTTCTTGCTTCCATAACTTTATATGTTGCTTTTATTTTGACGTTGTGCGACAGTAATGTTATGCGTCAACCCTATTTGCAAAGGCTACCAGAATTTTGGCAGTTTGTGTGCCGTACATAAAAACATATTAAAATAACACTTTTTAATCAAATTTGGGTCAAATAAAAATACCATTTGATAAACAAATCAATTTTGAATCAATTCATATTGTGTTTTAAGTGAAACTTCAATGACATTGTGTACCCAACTATTTGTTAGGGAAATATGTAGAGAATGTTTACCAATATGGAGTCTGCTTTCAAATGAAATCTCGCGAGACTTCAAGTTTTGGGAATTCTAGCATCTATTTTAAGTAACGCACCATATAAATTTTTTTAGTAAGTGTACAATTTAAAAAACAACAAATTATTCATGAATCATCTCTCAAAAACAATATAAATCCAACATGTTTTTGGTACAATATCTGTTATTGAATAAATAAACCGTTATTCATAATTGCAAAGCCATTTTTTCAATTAAAATAACATTTGGGTCACAAGTCACCAAATGTCATGCAAAGGTATCCGAACCTAAATTCCCGCTAGTCACGTGATAATTAGGGCAGCAATGGTGACGAATTTCATAAAATGTGAACCCACTGATAAACTTTGAGGCATTATTTCATAAATCTAACGTTTTGTGTTCAAAAATATAGACTGAAGTGTCCCAAATACATCTATTTACCTGTATTAAAATAGTTTTTGTTCAGATCACGCAAATGTATTGAGTTACAGCATGACATAATTAGTCAGGGTTCTGGTTGACTTTCGATACGGGATTTACTTCAGCGAATGGTTAGGCAGTACTATAAAACCTGTTCGCTGAAGTATCTTTAGCTAACAGAAGGGCACCTGAGGTCTACCTTCACCAGTAAAGTTGAAAAGTGGCCATATGATCCATGTCAGTCACATAACCAATAGTGTAGCAGTGAACTGATGTTCATGCCAGAATCCTGGAATAATGGTTATTATAAATACATCTTATTTGTGTAACTTCTCAGTCCTGATTCTGCAGGAGACATATAAGTAGTATTATGTTGTTCGGTTTATTTGATATTTTTAATTTCGAAATAAAAATATCTAGAAAATTAAGGATCAGTTTTCTTTAAATGTAGAATAAAATACCATGTGTCATATAGCACAAGTTTGCATTGCCCATGAATATGGCTAGTTATTCCGCAAATTCTTTATTTTGTAATATGAGTAGATATCTGGATCGATGCCAGTCTGATTTATAGAAGAGCACTATGACCAGAATTCGTCTCTTGAATTATAACCAAAGACTAGCATGGTATTTAGATATCAAGTTAGTGCTTGTTATTCCATTCTTACAATACACATACTCTTGGCATTGTCTTGTGGTCATTACGTGTAACAAATATTAACTATAAAAATCCGAAATTAATGTTTCTACAGATTGTACTGATCTACTCTTGAAAATGACCTAAAATAACAAACAATTTATTTTCATTTAGAAAGACCAAGAGAACTAAACCAAGAAGTATTTTTTAAAAAAAGATACTGGTCCGAAGTAAAAAATTCTGGAAATAAAGTGATCCCTCAGAAGCATTATTCACAACAAAATTACATGAAAATTGCAGACTAGGTTTGATTATCAATGAGTCTGTACATGAGCGATAATGAAAAAGTGCTCGTGCTGGCTTGAGCATGCAGTACTCAATTCTCAACACTTAATAGTGCTGGCATCAATAATCCCAAAGGACAAGAAAAATACAACAACACTCAATTGAAGTACGGTGCAAATCTTAATAGCTGTCACGTACAGGGCACTTGACATCTGCTGTTGTGAAGTATAAAAATCTGGAAATAAAGTAATCTCTCGGAAGCATTAATCACAACAAAATGACATGAAAATGGCAGACTCAGTTTAACTGAGTCTGTACATGAAGAATGATGAAAAAGGGCAACATCCCTCACACCCCCTAGCAAATTGATCCACATACAAAATTATGTTATTTCTAAGTTTTCAGTACAAAAAAAAGAAATACATGTATTAGCAATGCTTGCATAACAATAATATAAGAATTATTTCTTATAACTAACAAGGAAGTCAAACTGATAACAGACGGACTTCTTCCAAAAAATAGGATGTTAGTTTCATTTTTATATGCCCGAAAGAATTTCTGGCATATTATGTTATACCCCATGGCGTCCGTCCGTTAGCAATTTGGTTTCCGGATCCTAACTTAAGTTCCATCCGGCCCACAATATTCAAACTTCATAGGATGATTGTCCATATTGGGTAGAAAACCCCTATTGATTTTGGGATCACAAAGTCAAATGTCAAGGTCACTATTGCCTTTAAACTGAAATCAGTTTCCGGAGCACAATTTAAGTTCCATTTGGCCCACAATTATCAAACTTCATAGGATGATTGTCCATATTAGGTAGAAGAACCCTATTGATTTTGGGGTCAAAATGTCAAAGATCAATGTCACTAGTACCTTAAAACAGAAAAATTATTTCCGATGCATAACTTAAGTTCCATATGGCCCACAATATTCAAACTTCACAGGATGATTGTCCATATTGGGTAGAAGACCCTTGTTGACTTCGGGGT